GCAGACTAAATAACCCCAGTTCCCTCAGCCTCTCCTCATAAGTCATGTGTTCCAGCCCCCTAATAATTTTTGTTGCCCTCTGCTGGACTCTTTCCAATTTTTCCACATCCTTCTTGTAGTGTGGGGCCCAAAACTGGACACAGTACTCCAGATGAGGCCTCACCAATGTCAAATAGGGGGGAATGATGATGTCCCTCGATCTGCTGGCAGTGCCCCTACTTATACAGCCCAAAATGCTGTTAGCCTTCTTGGCAATAAGGGCACACTGTTGACTCATATCCGGCTTCTCATCCACTGTAACCCCTTTTCTGCAGAACTGCTTCCTAGCCATTCGGTCCCTAGTCAGTAACAGTGCATGGGATTCTTCCGTCCTTAGTGCAGGACTCTGCACTTGTCCTTGTTGAACCTCATCAGGTTTCTTTTGGCCCAATCCTCTAATTTGTCTAGGTCCCTCTGTATCCTATCCCTACCTTCCAGCGTATCTACTACTCCTCCCCGTTTAGTGTCATCTGCAAACTTGCTGAGAGTGCAGTCCACACCATCCTCCAGATCATTAATGAAGATATTGAACAAAACCGGCCCCAGGACCGACCCTTGGGGCACTCCACTTGAAACCCGCTGCTAGCTAGACATGGAGCTGTTGATCACTACCCGTTGATCCCGACGATCTAGCCAGCTTTCTATCGACCTTACAGTCCATTCATCCAGCCCATACTTCTTTAACTTGCTGGCAAGAATACTGTGGGAGACCGTATCAAAAACTTTGCTAAAGTCAAGGAATAACACATCCACTGCTTTCCCCTCATCCACAGAGTCCGTTATCTCCTCATAGAAGGCAATCAGGTTGATCAGGCATGACTTGCCCTTCGTGAATCCATGCTGACTGTTCCTGATCACTTTCCTCTCCTCTAAGTAGAAACCATTGATTGTAACTGTCCTGTGAAAGATACTTTATTACTATGCAAAACTTACAAACAAGTTAATTGACTTTGTTCTTTAAGTGAACGCTGTTAGGACCCCTGCTGTGAGCCTTAAGCCTTTAATTGACTCTGTGCTCTTCAGGCAGTTTATTCTGTAATTGATACAATGTAAACAAACGCTATAAGCCGTTAAGTGACTTTCACTTCATTGTAACAGCAAAGGCTCCTAGGAACAGACCCCCACCCTCTGATTAAAGGGCCGGGAGTCTCAAATGAATTAGCACACACCCCGAAAGTGGTGGAGACAGTAAATTAAAATATGGTTAAGATATGGAATGTATGTTGATGAATGCTTGATGTACATGAATGGTTAGGGAGGTGCTAGCCTAGAAAGGGAGTATCCATCTGCCGAAGAATGTGTCAAGTGGACTTATATTTACAACAATAAATGTGGCATCTTTGCCTTATCCCTCTTAATAAGATCCTGCTGGTTTTTATTCTATTGGTATAACAAACGCAAGGCGCCAGGGTCTGATCTCTGCCCCCTGCCCCCCAGGTGTACTCCCTGGACAGGCCACAGACCTTCCACAACTGCTTCAGCTCCCACCGCTCCTTGGACAAGAACAAGCAGCTGGAGATGCTGGCAGAGCAGATTGCCACATTGTGTGAAACCCTGAAGGAGTACCCAGCCATCCGCTACAGGAAGTGAGTGTGCCCGGGGGGAGGGGTACCCAGCCATCCGCTACAGGAAGTGAGTGTGCCCGGGGGGAGGGGTACCCGGCCATCTGCTACAGGAAGTGAGTGTGCCCGGAGGGAGGAGTACCCAGCTACCCATACAGGAAGTGAGTGTGCCTGGGGGGAGGGGTACCCGGCCATCCCTACAGGAAGTGAGTGTGCCCGGGCAGAGAGGTACCCGGCCATCCGCTATAGGAAGTACGTATGCCCCTGTGGGAGGAGCTGTTTCTGACCCACAGGGTTGTCTTGCAGAGACCATGAAGATAACTTCCTCCTGGCGCACGCTGTGCTGGCCAAACTCAACGCGTTCAAAGCAGACAACCCCAGCATGGGAGAGGTGAGCGAGCTGTTCCGGCCACGCCCTTGCCATGGGACAGAGCCGTGGGGGGGAGCGGGGAAGCACATGAGAAGTAGAAGGAAGGAGGAGTGATTTAGAACCTGCTCAGAGATCCTGGTGGAGGGGGGCAAGGGAGGATCTAGAACCTCCTTGGAGATCCTGAGGGGTTGGCAGAACAGTAGCATTCCCTGTGTGGTTGGACTAATGGCCCCAGTCCTTCTCTAACACCGGCCATGGGCAGATCGTAAAGTGCTCTACAAAGGCAAGTGTCCTTATCCTCTCTGTACAGATGGGGAAACCGAGGCATGGACTGGGGAAGTGTGTGCCCAGCACAATCTCTGTTTATAAATCGGTCACAGAACTAAGCTTCGCACACACAGTCTCTTCCACACCTGGGCACTCCTGTCTGTGTGTGCTCCTACACGCATCCCCATGGTATCGGAACCTCACTAATGAATTCAGCCTCCCAGGGGAGGCAGGGTGGCCTGTGTTACAGATGGGGAAACTGAGGCATGCAGGGAGTCTGTCAGAGCAGGAATAGAACCCAGCTCTCCCGAGTCTTAGCCACAAGTCAGCCCTGGCCTGTGAGCTTCCCCCAGCTCCTGCCGTCCCCATCCCACCCCCAGCAGAGGGGAGCTGCAAACCCACCCTGTCCTGGATTCTCGCATGAGAAACCCAGTGGCTCCTGTCCCCCTAGGAGAAGCAAAATGATGTAAAATCCAAGGCCTGCCCAGATCTCTCCCTCCTGTTGCTTCTGCTCTTGCTTCCAGCCTTTGCCGAGCTGCTGGGAGACTGTGCCCCTGTGACCAACTGGGAATGTTTGTAATATCTTTTATGAATCCAATGTGTGCCTCAGTTTCCCCTATATGTTTCATGGCTTCTCTGGCAGGGGGTGGGGGGGGGGGAAGGACTCTCAGGGAAGGAAAGAGCCATGGGGGGAGGCGGTGTCACTTCCCTGTCTTGGTGAAATGAAGAGAATCGGACCTAGATCAGCCTGGGGGTCAGAAAGACCATGACATCTCCAATGGTTCCTGGCTGGACGCTCCCAGCAGGGAATCGGAGCAGGGGCCCCAGCTCGAGAACACAGGGTTGGGAAGGTTTGAGCTGGGGGATAAGTGGGGGAAGTTGGGAGCTCTCGCCTGAGAACTGACCAAGGTCTACACGAGGCAATTGGGTCAGTGTAACTGCGTCGCTCGGGGGTATTGGAAAGGCCGCGTCACTGAAGCGGTGCAGCTGCAGTGGTTTACATGTAGACAGACCCTGAGCGAGAGACACGGAGCCTGAAAACAGGTTTCGCTGCAGCTCAGCCGGGCTCTGGGCTGACCAGAACGGCCTCTTTCTTTAACCTTCAGTGGGCTGGGCTGCCCGGGCTGGGGTCCAGGTGCCTAAGAAACCCGACTGTTCTGACAACGCTGGGGGAATAGCCCTGTCACCCGGGCTGAGGGGCTTCGGGCCCTGCGGAGTTGACGGGTTTCTACCAGGGTCTGTCTCAGCTGGACTCGCTGGGCAGGGCTCACGGGGTGAAGCCCAGTGGATCAGTCTCAGGAGGTGGGGAGGCAGTGTGGCCTGTCCTGGAGGAAGAGAAAAACCTGTTGGTCTGGCACAGCAAAGGGCTTCCTCCCAGAGACTTCCCCAGCTGAGGCCCTGGCACCGACCCTGTGGATCCATGAGCGCACCTTTCCTCTCTACTTTCCCATCCACCGAGGCAGTGTTGCCTAGTGGCTAGAGCCCTGGACCGGGACAGGAGACCCGGGTTCTATCCCACCTGGGTGACCTTGAGCAAGTCACCTCCCCTATTTGTGCCTCAGTTTCTCCATCTGTAAAATGGGGATAATGATACCAGTCTCGGGC